AAAATGTTTTAAAATGCATCGGCCTTTGTTGTAAATCACATGGATATTACTTTGTTTAGATAACTCGATTTTGCATAATGTCGAGAATGGAAACCGCTTTTGAAGGAGACAAAGAGTTAAATCTCCTAGCATTTCGAATATCCATGCTACAGACTACTAGTGCTGAAAGGGTGACAAATTGCTCTAAACCAAGCACACGCATTTTTCGGGCGGATACTACTATGCACCGCGTCCGTTATAAATCAATATACAACAGAGCGTGCTATATGATATCTGTTCTATTGCATTATTTCTATCAGACAGTTACTTTATGTAAGCCATGAGCGCTAATAGATATCGTAACGCACTAATATTTGAGGGAAAGGGGGGGGTGTCGGAAGGTTCCCATTTTGCCAGAAAAATATCCATTCTGGTTTAAAATGGATCTAGGTACACGTAGTAATAGGTCCACTTTTTCAGAAAAAGTCCCATTCCCTTTGAAATTGCTGGCTACGGGACTGGCTATAATATTGCACTAGCTACTCCACACACTGTGATGAGAACAGTTGTTGAACTCCGTTATGGATGTGTTTCAGACTGTGTTACAACACCTGATGCACAACGTGGGGGAGCTGGGCGTGTCCGATCAAATAACCTACGACATGATCAGCCATCTTGATGCCAAAGTCCACAATATTACCGGAGTACAAGAGGTAAGTGCTCATGTTGTACACGTGCTCTGTCATTGGATTCAAACAGGAAGTCTGCGAGAACTTGTTCTTATATATTTCTAGTATTCATGCACACATATATTTAATCCACTGATACCGGGAAAGAAAAGGCAGGCGGATTTCCCAACAGACAAAAATTACCAAATTGTATCGTCCACAGCGTGCACAATGCATACTTTTTTAATTCCTGCATTACTTTGCGTGCGTCTTGTCTCGATCCTGTCTTTCATGATGAGACCAACTTTTGCAACCATGTGCATTATATATAATGGACACCATACACTACACTCCAGACTTACATTGAATTTGTCTTTGGACTGTTATCTTAAAGTCCAGTATTCCCATACAACGCGGTGGCGATGAAACACTTGTCATACTCGCACACACGCACACATACATACTCAGAGAGAGTGAGAAAGAGAGAGAAAGAGAGAGAGAGTGCGTTATTGTTCAACGAGTACCCTATCACAAAGTAAGAAAAACATTCATTATTTAAAAAGCTATCTAACTTTTTGACGAAAATTTATCAATATAAAGAAACAATATTTTTCTTTAAAAGATCCCATATAAGATGGCACTATTTACGAATTGATAATGCCACTTAGAATATCCAATAATGTTTGCAAGTGCCCAAATGCCATCCAAAATAAAATATTAAAGAAAGGAAAACGTATGTAAGAGACTTTCAAACAAACACTCAGACAACAACCGCAATGTAAATTTCAGTGCATTCGGTTTATTTTCCATTTTAGCAGAACTTCACAGAAAATAAGTCCAAAATTCCAAAACGATATTTTTTCTCATTGACAATCGGCATCACTGACAGCTGACATCACTGACAGCTGACATCACTGACAATTATAGCTGCACTTATTGGCGTGCGAGGTGCCCTCTATGACCCAGCAGGTTCTCCTGTTGTCTCCATAGTGACCGATGTGGATATGCTCTCCGCCGGTACAGGTGTCACGTCCGTGCCAGATCACCTGGTAGTCCCTGGCCAGAATGCCGCTTGATCTCAGCCGATTAAAGATCGCCCGGCCAGACCCCTCACCTTCGATCCAGAAGTCGGCAGCGCGACCAAAATAATGCTGTTGCATGAAAAAGAAAAAATATAATAATAATAATAATGCATGGTAATAACGACATAATGGCGTTGAGTATAAAGTTCGTTTCAAATGCTGAAATCATTTTACAATTTTTAAGATTGTAAGTTCAAATAGCGACAATACATTTCAAACTTCATTAAAAGCATGTTTTAAATTTATAGAATGGAAGTGCAATCTAGTATAGGTCTTTCCGTGTAGAAAATGAGTTTGCAGTGATCAATTGTGTAACATTTATTCCGTCCAAAAATGTGTAAAATGTCTGTCATTCTCAGTGGAAATTCAAAATCTTACTTAAAACCAAGAAACCATAGCATTACATTGTAATATTCAATATCATCTGAGTTTTAACATGATACCATTACGAAGTGATAACGTTATTACTCACATGAGACCTGCTATTGGACTGGTGGGGCCGATCGCCGCTGAATAAATACACTCGTTTTCCGTACAAGTTGGCAATGGCCTGAAGCTTCCTTCTGACATCAGCGTCGGACACCGCGTATCCTTGGTAGTCAACCTTCCCTTTTCCTATTCCTGTCAATCAACACAAAAATCTTTATTTGTAATAATTATTAAGGAAGTCAAACGAGTTTATTCAAGAAAGTTGCCACAGACTTTCTGAAAAGCGGATCAATAATTGATTTAAAATAGCTTAGATGCCCATTTATCCCACGTCTTACATATTACACATCTGTTTTTCAAAGTAGAATCTATCATGGTGAAGCTGAAACTAAAATTCAGTTATTGCAGTCAAACTGTTTAAATTTTGTGGTATTAATATGACATGCGGAAGTTCTACAGCTGCAATTGATGGCCGCAACATCACAGTTACAGTCACATTTTTATCATATTTTCGACAGAGAGTTTTACTTGTGATTGGACAGTTCAAACTACCTGACCCATAAATAGAAAGGCACGATTCCGTTCAAGTAATTTTCCAATTTTACCGCAAATACGGCGTGTGTAGCCTCTCAAATATTTAAAACAAACTTAACAACCGTTCCTTCCGTGTATTACGACCAAAACATAGACGGGCGAGGAGATTCTTGCTATTTACCTGAAGATGAGGAAGACGAAGATGAAGACGTGCAGCATCGCCTGGAAGTCGGTCCGGCACACAACCCGGTTTTGAAATAACCACTGCACGAGTTGAAGGCGAACTTACAAGTGCCCCCCTGACTGGTGCAGCGCCTGTCGCCTAGGACGTCCAAGATGATTGAAAAAAAAATCAAAATAATTTTTTAAAATCCGAATTCAATATTTATACGAAGGAGACGAAGGTAAATAAATAAAGATCAACGACAGAAGGATAAAATGAAGGTACAATTGGTATATTGCAGTTTAAGACGTGTATAAATAAATATACAGAGGATATAATAGAATAAGTCAAAAAATAAAATATCGATAATTTTCTTCATTCCAAAATATTAGGAAAAGAATTAAGTATTTTTTTATACGCCATACCGTATCCGGGTACGCAGCACTTCCTGTTGTACGCCCCTGAACACTTTCCGCGAACGTACCAACCGCTGCAGAACAACGCGTCAACCTGACATGTGGCGCCAGCCCTGTAGCCATGACACACGCTGTCTGTGTGGAAAAAACTATACAGGTTAGACTGACTATGACAGGCACTGTAGTCTATTTTCACAGTATATTTCAACTGAAATATCAAGCGATTTTTCTGCATTTGGCCGATTTTCAATGCTTTCCTTTCTTTATAAACTTCTTCTTGAAGCACTGAGGTCAATTTGCACAATATGTATTGGCCAAAATATCAAACGATTTCTCTGCATTTGACGGATAGTCAATCCACCCTTTAATAAACTTTGCTTCTAACTCAGGGGAACCTAGGGTTCAAGACTTTAAAATACCATGATAAACAATAGACAATGTCCAACGATTGAAAACAATGATTAACCCATATACGATTTGATGTCTTAGCAGTAATCTGAGATCTAAAATACAATCCGTCTCTGGGATAGTCTGCCGAAGATAACTGATACTACATGTATAGTGAATTTGAGTAAACAATAGATATAAGAATTCGAGTAGATAAAATTTTACAGAGGAAATAAGAAATTTTATCATGTTTTAAACAGATAAGCGCCATGCCTTGGGAGTCTGGTTCCACAGCATTCTGTGGTCAGTTTTCTTTGGCGTGTGGTACGACTAACGGGTTTAATATATGCAGCTAAGCATTATAAATTCGATCAGATAAAAGCATATGCTGACTTCTGGGAAAGATTATTTGAACTGTATAAGAAATATTCATTGAAAGAGCCTTTGGTTTCTAACATCAGTTGAAAGGATGAAACAGCTTTTAAGTCTAAATATAATTCAACGTAACAATAAGGATTTTTATTAACATTGGATTAAACTTCTGCAAGACAATTAAAGTATGTGTTTAAAAATATGTACTACAGTTTTATTCCTAGTCGATCTCTTCTCAAACATTGATTATACGTTTACAGCATTTTTCTCAGTGAGAAAAAGACACCCCTTCAAAAATTATGTGTTTCTTAAATTTTATTTTCTGTTGATGAATTTTTATTTTACTCCACAATCATTATCAATCAAATTATAATCACTCTTAACATAAAAACAAAAATGGTCAAAATGTAGGTGAGTGACAAAGGTTACAAAATATTTTTGGTTGTTAAGGCATGCACTGACGCAAAAATCTATTACCAATGCATATGTATCTATACACATTTCGTCAAAACATGAAAATTCCAATTTACTCTTTGATTTTGGCTACCTTTCGCCCTTAAATCCAAGTCTAATCAAATGAAACCCTTACATATGGCTGATTTACAGTATTTAACCCATCTTTTGTGTCAGTACCAAAAACCAGTTTGAAACTGAACCGAAACTAAGAAAACAACTATGGCTGTGAAATATAATCAATGTCTCTTCACTTACCTGACAAAGCAGCAGACTCGTGGAGCGAGACAATCGCTAAAACGCCGAAAACAAACAACATGGTGCCCGCCGTCTAGGTTCTACCACCTAAAGCAAGGTGTAGAATGGCGCGGCGGTGACACGCTGGAGTTTTAAGAGACACGCTGCGCAGCGCCCTCTGTTGACCCGTTACTTCAAATACTGCCATCTCATTCATTTTTTTCTTGAGGCCAAGACACCCTGTTGTTCAATTTCACACAAGCATACACACACACGTACACACACACTCGCGCGCGCGCGCGCGCGTACGCAAGCAAGCACATACACACAGGACACTTATAATCGATTCAGAGTCTCATTCTGAATTAAAAGAGAGATCCATAAAATCGGCATAATCCTTATCATTGCTATTCTCTTTATTTGTCTCCTTGTAATAGTCGTTCATTTATACACAATAGAGCGTAGGCTTTGTGTGTGGCTGTCTTTTCCACAGCATATCCCAGTTCATGACAACGTCTCCCATCTCTTTCGAGAAGAGTTCACTTAAATAACTAAGTGTTTTATACAAAAAAAAAAAAATAATAAAAATAAAAAACAGAAATAAAATAGCGCAAGGTTACTTGTTTTGAACTCGATACAATATAGGGAAAGATGCCACAGTATAGGGAGTTGTTTTAATAAGGTGTGCCGCTCTCTGGAGGAAAATGTGTTTTTGCCACAGTTTGATCCTCTCTAGCACAATCATGCTCCCGCGGTCACTTTGCCTGTTGAAGTATTGTTATTCAAATTTGACGAACTCCGTGTGACAGGTACTCAGGAAGCCATGATGGAAGGCAGATATCTTGGGACGTGGTGATGATTATTGGGGATGAAACGTGGATTATCCACCGCTACCTGCTTGAGCTGCCCACAATAGCTTGTAAGTACACATGGCATATTCCTTTAATTATTGCTGTAGCATATACATATGAGCAAAATGTGTTTGTAAGATGGAGAATTTCAAATATGTACATGTCCACTCTCGCCAGGCTCTCCTCATAGTTCGTTATCTAAGCACCTACACTGCAAGGGGATATTTCGACAGTTCACCTGTGTCTTAGCTGAATTGGGAATGCCAAGTTGATTTTGCATTTCGTCTATATCTACCGATATTTAGTTTTTACGAAGGGTTGAAATGCATATAAAATCGAGTAAACAATTGCAATAGACACAAGGTATTCACTTATTCACTTTATATGGAATGGAGTTATTTTAATATTAAAATACATTGCCCTTTGCGTTGTTGAACGTCTTGAATTATGATTAAACTATATACCTTGGAGAATGAAATTTTGAGTAAACAACAAAAGCATGATGTATTTGGAACTTATGAAATGAAATTGCTGTTGCATTGCCTTTAGCACTGTCGAAGAAACGGTATCTAATCTGTTTTTGTGTATTTCCAGTTGTCAGTGCAAACGAAGAAGCTCTTTCTACGGAGAAGTCACAGCAGTGCTAATGCGCCTTTGGATTTCAATAATGCCGAGTATTTTGGACGAATGCATTTTAATATGAAATGAAACTGGAATGCAGCAGATGAGAAAGTCTGTGTTACATCTCTGAATCATAATTTAAACATTTGGGAATTTACTCATCGATAATGTATAATCATTTCCCACGTTTGTAGCATTGTCGCACCAAAACACCAACATGGTGCAAGTTTTATACCGTTGTTTATTTTTGCATACAACATATTTGAGAAAGAATATGATACTTCTAAATTGTTTTGATTTTCTGGAACTACACTGCCAATTGTAGATCGACGTATTAAGTCATACAGTACATAGGTGCACAAGCTTAGCATACATGACAGTAACGTTTCAAATGTGTTTGACTCTCAAACCTAATGTACACGGAGTATAGGTAGTTATTGCTTTGTCACTTTTACGCACAGTATGCTATGAAACGCATCTACATACACCCCATTTCCATAGATTTTTAGATCGATCTATCCCTGTGGGGAGTCTCACTAGATTACTGTCAGCTTGGCCGGCTTAAGCGTCTGTCCCGCCTACTAAAAGCTGTAAGGGGGTAATTAAATATGGTGCCCGCTCGGCTGACTGCAATTTAGCGTGAACCCCCAGGGAGTTAGGTCGATCTAAAACTTAATCTTTAGATCGATCTAAATCTCTGGGAATACACCCTATAGCAACCACATGTATTTTGACTCTCTTCTTTCCGAATGTGGCCTTAAAATGAGTACTTGTTGCTGAGCTATTGAATGTCCCGGTTTTAACGTACATCGGGATGCTTACTTTATGAACCCCATACTTAAATCGGGGCATCCAATAGCTCAGGATCTGGGCCATATTTTATGGTCACATTTTGGTAGTCGTTGGTCAAGATGTGTAGCTCTTCCATGCACGTGTTAATATTAGCGTATTTTGGTTTTAACATACTACAAACACTGTCTGGACTAACATGCCTACTCAATGATTTGGAGTTTGACTCTTCGCATTTAAATGCCGTTGCCTTGATATTGTTTAGTTTGAATCTTTTGTTAATAACATGGAAATAAAATTGATAAATTTATTTCAAATTTGATCAGCTTCTCTGACTCGTTTTATTCGCCTTCACAAACAAGTGTATTCCGTGGTGAATGTGGTGAATAAAAGTTAAACCTTTGATTAAGCTCATTTTGATCTCCTGATCTTTTACTCTTGAGCCTACAGTCTTGCTAAGTGAGTAATCTCCTAAAGGATTTCTCTTCGTTAGAATTAAATCTACAGGTTGAATGCGATTATTTTTAATATACAAAATGAAAGTTCATAGGGAATCGATCCTGTCACCTTCTGTTTGCGAGACTTGCACGATACCGGTTCGTCCATTCACCCAACCAGTATATTTTCAACTTGGAAGTTCCATTTATATTTGTGGACGAATAATCTTTATTTCTGCAAAATGTACCTCTCTGGGAATCGATCCTGTCATCTTCTGGTCTCCAGTCTAGCACGTTACCGGTTCGTCTATTCACCCAACCACCCGCCCTAAATTTCAGATCTTCCCTTTGAAGTTACAGCGCCTTTTGTTCATGTAGACTGCAGATAAAATGTATTAGAAAATAGTCGAGACACTTACAAAGTGCGTGTTAGCCACCTGTGGATCTAAATATTATTTTTGTAAAGTGTTTGTTAGCTTTTGACCTGTCTAACCGAAAAGTTCAGCGATTTTCTGTTGTATAATTAACACGGTGCTTTAAAAAATGGTCAAAAATTACCAGAACGCTCGAGGTGGTATTAGTTCCATATTGGAGATTATTCTCCAAAAGTATAACGACAAAACGGACGTAGTTCACACGGTAGTTAACGACAGTTAATGAAGTATACGTGCATTCATTCGTATATTATCCGCACAGTACCCGTCACCAGCCTAATTAAATAATCACGGTGATGTTTTAGTCCTCTGTTAGCGTTCAGGAGCAAACTCGGTTCCCAATCAACAATTTCACCATTTTTGTATAAAATTTTCAATTTAAAATTATTTTTGGAAAAACTCACATGGTTTCAGTACATTTTTTATTTAAGTTTAGTCACATGATAATGAAATGATACACATGACAATAATGTACTCTCAACAAAAAGTATTTATGCATGTGTTTAGCCTAATGAAAACAGATAAACAATCAATCACATAAAACATAACGTTTATTTGAGAGAATAAGAATTCGGTTCAATGATAAACAATACAAACATTTACTAAATACATGCAATTACGCGTTTTCACCTACACTCAAATTATTCAAAAATTTTACTTGCTCCTTCCTAGCACATACCGTAGCTTTCATGAATATATCCCTTTTCCATTTACAGTTCAATGTCAACAATGTATTAGAAGATGGCGCGGTACGAAGTCAGTCCAACTTGTCGCATCCAAAGTTATAGCTATATTTCACCGTGACTAAAAATTATTTATTATTTCCAGTTGTACAACTAAATTGGGCCAAATAGCTACTGTCTACCAGAGCATTTCTAGTTATTACACAAGTATATGTAAGATGTATATACGATTCTGTAACGGGTAGGCTACCTTTTGCAGAGATTAGGAAAACGCCACGGGATTTAAGAAATATCCACACACGCTTGAAACGAGCATCAGATCCATCAGAGTCCATGTAGTTTTCTCCTTATTGGTTAGTCCAAGTCCGAGTCAAATAGCATGATCATATGAATATCTTTGTCAGGCACATTGTGTCTTTGTCCTCAGAAATATCACTCTCCTTTTCACCGCGCCTGCTGCCAGTCTCTCTACATGTGCTATGCTACTTTTGACTGGTCATTTCTCTGCCATCCTTGATAACTTGTCCTTGGTGTTACATAACGTCCGGTGCAGGCTATCCACTCAGATAGTCAGACCAGTGACCTATATAGAGATCTTTATATGGGTCATTGGTCAGACCAAAGACAAGCAGGTGTCAGTTTATATAAAAAAGTGAACATTCAAGTTGCGCCATTGACACACACATTTTGTGTAATATTTGCATGACTTTTTATATACATGTATATATTGTTCATTACGGTTTATTTCTTTCCGTATTGGAGGATGCTATAGTATGAAATGGCGGAAAGAATGGTCTACAGTCTAAATCATGTAAATATTACACTAAATATGTGCATCACTGACGTGACTTGAATGTTTAGGGGAGACCGTGGCTACTTGGACACCGGGGTAAGTTGGCCCCTCATAAAGCCCCTTTAATAAAGTTACTTTAAGATGCTAAATTATTTCATTTGGACTCACTGCCGACGCTTTCTTGGCACTATTGGATGCGGTCACTTTACAAAACGATGTGATATTCATTTACTCCATAGTTACTTTGTCATAAATTGATGGGGGGCCAACTTACCCCCGGGGTCCAACCAGTCCCTGTCTCCCCTACTTTATGTGTAATACCACGCAGACATCATTTCAATGTTCCTGGTCAAATTAACACGTCACTTTTACTAGACTTTTTGTTGTGAAAACATAATGTGACAATGGGCTTACACATGCTTACAGACATGGCATAAGTGTCACGTCAGACCCTCCACAAATTCAAAATAGTCAGAAAAGAGATATCATTGTTATAGTGAGGAATGACGA